AAAGTAGTCCTCAAAGCAAGTGTGTAGACTGGTCAGATGCGCAGTGACAGTTATTTTCAGGGCATTTTTAGCTGCTGTATTTAGCTCTCCTGCTGCATGGCAAGTGTTGGGAAACATGTCAAGTCTGTCTTTAGTTACGTGATTTATCCACAACCTCAACTTCTTTTTGAAGGCAGTGAGTTGGTCTGTTCAAAGATGTTGTGTCCTCTCCCCTGCATAGACACGTTTAAAGTGTTGAGGTGCTCAAACACATCGGCAAGATACACCACGTGCATGAGCCAGAGTTCATCACTGAGCATCTCAGTGTACGGGGAGTTATTGTGTGAGAGGAAGGCGGTGATTTCATGTTTAAGTTCGTAAAAATGTGACATTACCTTTCCCCTCAAAAGCTAGCAAACTTCTGAACGATACAACAACTGGATGTGCTCTGATCCCAGGTCTTTGCACAGCTGTGTGAAACAGCAGCTGTTCTTGGTGCTCCGTTTAATGTAGTTCACTATTTTTATGGCATCTTTCAGTGTTGTATCAAGCACTGGCACCATATCCTTAGCCACAAGTGCTTCTCAGTGAAGAAAACAGTGAGTCCACATCGCATTCAGTGCTCTCTCCAGGATTTTGTTCACAACTTCGAAGTCTTTTCCAGTCATGGAAGCTGCACATCAGTTGTTACGCCCGACTGTCCCATCGCAGTCCCACAGAGTCCAAAAACAAATAAATAGCGTTGAAAATGTCCTCTGCCTTTGTAGATGTGGGGAGGTCTCGGCTGCATAGAAACTGCTCCTGTATGTCTTCATCCCACACGTGTCTCATGTAAACAAGCAAAATGGCACGATTAGCAATATCTGTCGTCTCATCCATCTGCAATGCATAGTAAGCACTGGCCTGAATCCACGCTGAGGTCTTCTGTTTTATGTTGGCTGACATGTCTTCAATGCGCCGCATTATGGTGTCATTAGATAGAGGTATGGTCTTCAACTTGTCTGCTGCAGACTGGCCTAACTGACCATGTCCAGGGCTGCAGGTAAGATGAGCTCCTCTGCTATTGTATGTGGCTTCTTGGCCTTTGCTATATGTTGAGCTACGAGGTATGATGCCCGTAGTGCCTGCTCTGATTTGGAACACGAGGACAGCAGTCTCTTCTGGGTGGTCCTCAGGTCCCAAAGTAGTTTTTGAAAGTATTTGACTAGTTTGTCTTTGTACGTGGCATGTTTTGCTTCTAAATGGTGTTTTAACTTGTACGGCTTCATACTTTGTGCCAGTACTGCACTGCATATCACACAATGAGGCTTATGTCCATTTTTATCATCAATGTAAGCAAATCCATACTTAACATAGTCTGAATCATATTTTTGCTTCGCCATCTTCTTAACAAGTGTACCTATCTTCAGTGAGTGTACACTGTCACCCGCCAAACAATGCTTTTCATGGTAAGGTTAGGCCTCTGCATATCACGCACGCACGCATTTCAAAACAAAAGCCCCATGTTAGATACTACCTAAGCATTTGAATCCACAACAATATATCGCTCTCAAAAACAATTTTATCTTTTTTACCATGTCTCGGGCAACCCACCTGAATCATGCTCTAGTGCACCAGCAGGTTAGAGTGATCAGTGATCCAGTGAAATAGCTCAACATCAACTATAGATTGACACCAAATTCATGGTTCCCAGAGGCTCATGTCTTCATCAGGATGAATTGCAATACTGTAACTTCTTTTTCAGTTTGTCTAACACTTTAGTTTATGACCAAATACCTGCAAAACTAATAACACTCCCAGGAGCCTCAGCTCTACACTGTATTTTGTGCTAACTAATAACTGTTAGCATACGAACACCCTAAACTATGATGGTGAACATGGTAAACAATATACTGACTGTAAGTATGTGAGCATGATGACATTAGCATTCAGCTCAAAGCACCACTGTGACTAAGTTCAGCCTCAAAGCCTCATGGCTGTAGACTCACTTGTTGGCATATTGATTTCTTTTAACTATAAAGATAAGCCTGTCCATCCATCCATTATCTATACGTTTATTCCTGAATAGGGTCACAGGGGGCTGGAACCAATGCCAGCTGACACTAAGCAAGAGGCGGGGCACACCCTGGCCTGGTTGCCAGTCTATCACAAGAGGATAAGACTGTTAATTTTTTTATTTTTTGCTTATTTTCCACAAATCCAATACAGAGACTAAAATCAACAATGATTTTTGTGTAATGATCATAATGTTTGTGAATCCAAAACTAGGACCTCTTCTCTGTTTATGCAACAACAGAGAGATGTTACATGCATACACAAGTGAGCGGGGCCAAGGGAGTGGCCAGAGGTTGTACCGGCCACCCCCAGAATCTGATTGGCCAACCCTGGTGCCACCTCCACTAGAGTCAAACTGTCATGCTTATCAGTATTAATGAATAAAAAAAGAAAAACTATGACAAATTGTTGCCTTAAATACTACTAGTGTTTTTCTGGAACTTAAGTGATATTGGTTAAATTACTTTGATTTTATATCATGCATGCAGCATGATATTTGCATTCATTTCTCTGATTGTGTTGTTGTGGAGTACTTGGCATGATTTGCCTCAGTGGGGGGGAACACTGTGCAGCAACGATGTCTCCAGCCAGGAGTAAATAAGGAGCACAGCTGAAGGCTAAAGAAAGCACTGTGTGTCTCAAACTGTTTACACAAATAAACCATTTTAAACCAATTTTTAATAATGTATGATTTATTGTTTTATAAACTACACTTGTATTTTAAATCTGCCACCTCTCTCTGAGTCTGTGCCCCATCCTGGCCACCCCATCCAAAAATTTCTAGATCTGCTCCTGAAGCTAAGAGCAAATCAACCACATACATATGTGTGAGACCTCTGCTCCTTTTCCACTAGAACAGAGAGCGGTCACATGCATACACAATTGGCCCTTTCTTACATCAGAGACTGTAAAAAGTGATGGCCAGTGTTGTTGATGTGTGCTCCACCCTCAACATGTGTTCAACCCTGTTAAAAGCTGTTTCCTGTAGTGTCCCCTCTTAGTGGTTAGGGCTAGAATAAGGTTTGGGTTTAGGTTCAGATATAAGCGGAGAGGGGGTAAAATATCAATACAATATCGTTCTCTGTCTGCCTGCATTTGACACACATTAAGCAGATTGAGTTTTCTCACTTCTGAACCAAATCACTCTTTTTTCTCCCTTTGAGGTGCATTTTAGAAATAGATATTAGCTGAATACTGAACTGGCCTACAGGTTGTGAGATGCCTCTGACAGGACCGAGTACAGACATACAAGATACTGTGAGAAAATTTTTCCACATGGGTGTACTAGTTAGGAGTTATCAAGATCCACAGTTAGCACAGTGAACACTGTGCAGGTTAAACAAGAAAAATGTTAATGTCTTTAAATATATCAACTTGAGAAGCTTAATCTGATGGACCAACCACGCACCAATGTGCAGTCACACACACACACACACACACAGTTTGATGGGCACAAAAGAAGAGTTTCATTTAAAATACCAGCCCATACTAATACATGAGTCTGATCTTTCCCCGCATGTTAGTAACATGACTGAGTTGAGGGACAAAGTGAGTGATGGGGGAGATGACAGAAAACAGCAGCAGCATAGGAATGTTTCTGAACTGGAGTCTCCTGAGACTGCTGAGCAGGGGAGGGATGGTGGCAGATGTGATTAATCATTTATCTCCATCAGTGGGACTTTTGTTTTTCCTTTCTCCCACTGTATCACACTCCCATGAGACCCCCAATCCATCCACCTCTTCAACTTCATTGCTCTGACATCAACTACAGCAGCATGGGATGATGATCAGTGAGGATGTTAATGATGATTTTACCATGAACTGCACAAGTGGTTGTATGTGGTTTCAGATGACAAAAATGGTAATATAGTTGGCCACAGCACCAGTAGAATTCAGTACTGATGCTCAATTAAAAGGCCACTTGACTAGTTTTATACATTACCGGTTTACCGTGGCGTGTACTACAGCTTTTGCTGTGCTGCAGTGTTTGAAAGAATAACCCTACCTCTGCCTGATCTCAGAGGAAATCAATTTTTAACAGAAGGTCTTTCTAACAAACTGCAGGTGTGGAGTGGCACTTAGGAGAGAGGGGTGCTATCAAGTTGCATTATGGGAAATGCAGGATACAGATTTACCCAAACTAGAGACAGAGATTTCTCTGCCCCCGCTTTTTTATTTTGATCATTCTAGTTTTTAATCGGTCTGTTGAGAGTCCCTTGGCTTTATGAAAGCTTGAAATGAAATCTTCTTTAATTTAATAGTACTTTCAATAAATAAACGTGCAAATTTTAATACATAGTTACATCTTACAAGGTGGTATGTTGGAAACACAAGTGGAACCGTCAGTTTGACATAAAAGATTCGGCTCTGCTGCCTATGAAACACAAAGGAATCGCTGCACTGTTAGCTTCTATAATGTATAAGTTACCTGACCGAGCTGAGGTAAGGTTGGGGGAAGTGATACTATATTCCACCACAGCTGTTCATCAGTAGCTTTTTCTGTGTGTAAGAGAGCTACAGCCAGATCACACTCCGTGGATATCAACGACTGTGTATCCACCTTTGAGAACAACTGCTCTAACACAGCAACACTCAGATCCGCTACATCCACAAGCTTTAGTTTTGCTTTGTATGAGGTCTCTCTGATCGCATCGCTCCTGCAGCAGCGGCACATGTTCCGCTGGATGTTGGTGATAGGTGTGAAAAGATACAGGACCCCTTAAGTTCTGTGCACAGAGATGCGCGGTAGGCTCAAGTCATGAAGTTGCAGCTGCTCTTACTCATAAAAATCAGGGATTTTAAAGCACCGTTACGTCCACATTTGCATGTGTCATTCGGTTATGCACAGTCAGTCGCAGCCTAAACTACTATTAATCGCCCTGCTGCAGTGGAAGTTGTGGTTTGGTCAAGTTGGAACAGAATCACTTGCATATTTTCACTACTATTCAGCAAATTTCACTACTTACTCAGAAGCAGAGCAACAGGCACGAAGAGGAGACATGCAGAACTCATCAGGGACGCCATGTTGCCCGACCTGTCCAACTTTCAGCTTTGCGCCGGAATTCCAAAGGATTTCTGATTTTAGAACAGGCAGTGCAGCGTCCGGCTCCTCGTGCCGCGCTATACTCCAGTGTAAGGGCATCCACAGTGCGCTCACAAGCTCAGCTGAAGGGGGAGGGTGCGTCCGTGCCAAAGAGGAGGAGGAGGAGGAAAATCTACCGCAGCTCAGAATCCCCAGTGTGCTGCACAGATGTCTGGGCGGACGGGGTTGGGGGGGTCTAAGAGCGACAGAAGTAGATTCGGCTCCTTTACCCACTTTAAAGTACCACTGCAACAATGTGCAAAGCTCTGCATTCAAAATGTTACTTAGATGTTTGCAGCAAAATGTACTCAAAGTATCAAGTTAAAAGTAGTCATTCTCATAGAACAAGGTATAGCTTAGAATCGTTTTTGGGCTTCAAACTTAAAAGGAAGGGGGAATTTACTCTTTGGTGAAATTAACTAGACAATTAGACATTGTTCAAGGAGTCCCGGAAAGAGGTGGTTGTAATTTATAGGGTCAGAAGCCAGAAAGATGGAAGCCATTGCTATAACCTGTAACATTGTGCTGCATTTTATACATCTGCATTCAGGCTGAACACATCCTCAGTTACTAAATCTAGAGTAGGAAGAGGCTCACTTCAACCGCCTGTGTACTGGAAGCACAAATAAAGACAAAAGGAACAAATTTTTTTTTCCTTTTTTATTCCAAAATGTTTAGGGTAAAAGAAACTAAAAGATACAATGTAACATCCACGCTGAGGGAAATGAACACAATGGAAAGATTAGAAGAGAAGAACATGGGCACAGCTCCCACTCAGAGCAAAGCAGGGGTTAACCTGTCCTTTGTATCTGAAAGGTGAAAGTGGCAGTAGTCAAAAGGGTACTCTACTGGTTCATATGCAGAACATTTGAATATGTCCAAATGAGCTGTCTTGAGTCAAATGTGTGCAAATGAAATTTACAGGTCCTCTGCTGTTTGAGCCTCACTTTAAATCCAACCACACATTTTAATAAAATAAATGCTTGCAAACTGTAATGGAACTGCTATGGGGTCATGTTTGAATATTGTCTAAAGACCCAAATTGGATCAAATATCCAAAATATTAAATACAATAAGGCACTTGCTAGACAAATTCCTTAACAAAGGGGTCAAACAACAGCCTAATGGCAGGCTTTTCACATTTGGCAAAATCAATACAGTAGAAGTGATTTCTGAATTCAAAACCTAAATTGGGGGGG